CGATCTCGGAGGTGGTCAGGTCCACGATGGCATCGAGTTGTTGTTCGCGGATTAGTCGCTCCATGGCTTTTCCGCCGGAGCCGGTGGCGTGGAAGACGTAGATTTCGCATGCATTCGGGAGGTGGGATTCCAGGTAGCTTCGGATTTGGTTTACGGCGGGTGTGGTCACGCCGAACATGGTGATGCCGATTCTGGTTTTCTTGGGTGTTTCCTGCTTCGACCCATTCTGCTTCTGGTGTCCATTCTGGGCATGTCCGTTCGTGCCATTAGACTCGGGGGTATGAAGCTGGTCGTGGTATGATATCGCCATTCCGGTTCCTGCGGCTGCCGCGTTGCGGAGGATTCTGTTCAGAATGCTGTTTGTGCCGGCTACGTCGACGACACTGTACATCATGGTGATGTCTGTTTCTTGGATGTAGGGACCCACGTCGCCGGAGGCCATGGTGGAGACCATCAGTTTCGGGAATCCGATGGGAAAGGCATCGCGCATGATGGTGGTTGCGATGGTGGTGCCGCAGCTGCCGCCGATGGAGAGGATGGTGTGGATTTTGCCATTGTGGTAGAGGTCGGCGACGGTGGGGGTGGAGAGATGGGTGATGGATTGGATGTAGTCGTTTCGGGGAAGCTGGGTGTAGTCGATTGTTTTGTTGTTGAGGCTGGGATGAGGAATGTTGATGAGCGGAGAGGAGGTGGCGGCGCGGCCGACGTCCATGAGAAGGACGGAGATGGAGGGATTAGAGGTTAATTGGGAGTGGAGGTAGAGTAGTTCGGACCACTTAGTGTCGCAGGTGCCGAGGAGGAGGATGGTCGGCATGTTGCAGTATACTATAACTTTGATTGTTGTGAAGATGGGATGTGTTTTTAAAAAAAGGTGATGTTACTACTACTATTTATTGGGAGCGGGGTTTATAACGTTGAAGAGGGACATGTTACACTGTGGCTGGTGGCAGGCAGCTGAAGAACTGATCGGCTTTGCGCTGCACCGTCATGTCGGAGACTACTATCGTGCGTAATACCGACTGGGATTCGTCGCAGGAACTCAAAAATACTCAAGGCGAGATAAAATAAATTAATCACGCAGAAGAGAGGAGTCTCAGCTGCAGACAAAAGCACGCCGGTGCAGACTAGTTAGGGTTAGCCGTGGGTCAAATCCCGGACGATCCGCAGCTGAAGTGGTTACCAGGACTAAAAGTACCACTCATCCGCCACCAAAATGGATACTTTGACTATCAATTATGTGGTAACCGCCTGATCCACTGATGATTTGGCATTACCCCCTCTTACCCCTCCTTCGGAGATAGAGTCACACTATCACGGGGATGTTTGTTTCCGACATTCTTTTCATTCGTCATAATTCCGACTTTTGTAGGTCGGAGGTTATTTAAGGCCCATCCTCAACTATCCTCCACTAGCCCTCGATTTAGTACTATATAACATACTACTCTCTTAATACCTACTACATCCACCCTACATTCTCCAACATACACACATACACACCAACACCATTATGCCCCGCCCAACCACCCGACAAGAAGTCCTCGACCGTCTTCGCAAGACCATCGCCGATGGTTCGATCATCATCGGTGCGGGAGCCGGTAAGTACCCATGCACCCCTTCACTGCCATATACCCTCACCCATCTTCCCAATCATCAACATCAACACCACTAACCACAACAATGTCATGACTTACAGGAATCGGCCTCTCCGCCAAATTCATCGAAAAAGGCGGCGCCGACCTAATCCTAGTCTACAACTCGGGCCGATTCCGCATGGCAGGCCGAGGCTCTCTCGCAGGCATGATGCCCTACTCGGACGCCAACGCCGTAGTCGTTGAAATGGTACATACCTCTCCCCCTCCCCCTCTCCCTTCCCTCCCACCACCAATACTAACCAAGAGAACAGTCCAACGAAGTCCTCCCCCTCATCCAAAACACCCCTGTCCTCGCGGGCGTCTGCGGCACCGACCCCTTCCGAGACATGCGGACCTTCCTGCGCCAACTACGGGACATCGGGTTTGTGGGGGTGCAAAACTTCCCGACAGTCGGTCTGATCGACGGGAACTTCCGCGCGAACCTCGAAGAAACGGGGATGGGGTACGAGAAGGAAGTGGAGATGATTCGCATCGCCAGGGAAATGGATCTGGTGACGACGCCGTACGTGTTCAATGTGAAGGAAGGGGAGATGATGGCGCGGGCGGGCGCGGATGTGATTGTGGTACATGTGGGGTTGACGACGAGTGGGACGATTGGGGCGCAGACGGCGTTGACGCTGGATGAGTGTGTTAAGGTGGTGCAGGAGGTGCGGGATGCGGTGGTGAAGGTGAATCCGGAGGTGATTGTTTTGTGTCATGGGGGCCCGTTGGCGGGGCCGGAGGATGCGGAGTATGTGTTGAAGAGGTGTAAGGGGGTGCATGGGTTCTTTGGGGCGAGTAGTATGGAGAGGTTGCCGGTGGAGGTGGCGTTGGAGGAGAATGCGAGGAAGTTTAAGGAGATTCAGTTGTAAGTATATCTAGTTTTTGGGGAGGGGGAGGTATCTTGGTAAACTACTGTAGTAGGAATCTGATGTATTCAATTATCTGGTATCTTCTGTTGAACAATTACTCCACAACCACCAATGCAACCCTAGCCATACCCAGCCACTTTTATTTGCCGTTGAAGACAATGCTTTTGAGCCCCATGTTGATAAAGAACCCTGTATATGTCGTCGTAACATCGTGAATGTTGAAGTCTAGCAGTAGGATTTCGACATCTAGTAGCGGTAGCTATTTCACTTAGTCAGTAGCTGCCAATATATTAAAGTTTTGAGTATAGGAGGGCTTACTGGTCAGCCTTGAAAGGTCCGGTGACCTCCAGGCCAAGGTACTCAGCCTGGACGGGGGTGAGCTGAGACAGCTTGGCGTTGACGTGCTCCAAGTGCTGGAGAGCGACCTGCTCGTCGAGAGCCTTGGGGAGAACGTAGACACCGACGGGCTTCTTGCCGGTGGTACCGAACTCGACGTACTTCTTGCCGAACTCGGCGTCCTCGGCCTTGAACAGAGCAATCTGGGCAAGGACCTGGTTGGAGAAAGAGCAGGACATGACGAAGGAAGAGTGGCCGGTGGCACAGCCAAGGTTGACGAGACGACCCTCGGCCAACAGGATGATGTGGCGGCCGTTGGCCATGGTGTAGCGGTCAACCTGGGGCTTGATGTTCTGGACCGACTTGGCGTTGGCCTTGAGCCAGGCAACGTCGATCTCAATGTCGAAGTGACCGATGTCTGAGCAGTTAGCTTGATACAGGAGATCATGATAGAAGGGACGTACTGCAAACGATGGCGTCGTTGCGCATCACCTCGAAGTGACGGCCGACGAGGATGTCACGGCAACCAGTGGTGGTGACGAAGATCTGACCCTGGGGAGCAGCCTCCTCCATGGTGGTGACCTGGTAGCCCTGGACAGCAGCCTGGAGGGCGTTGATGGGGTCGATCTCGGTGACCAGGACGCGGGCACCCATGCTGCGGAGAGCATCGGCACAGCCCTTGCCGACATCACCGTAACCGGCGACAACGGCAACCTTACCGGCGATCATGACATCGGTGGCGCGCTTGATACCATCGATGAGGGACTCACGGCAACCGTACAGGTTGTCGAACTTGGACTTGGTGACGGAGTCGTTGACGTTGATGGCGGGGACAAGGAGCTTGCCCTCCTTGAGCATGCGGTAGAGGTGGTGGACACCGGTGGTGGTCTCCTCGGACAGACCGTAGCAGTCCTTGAGCTGCTCGGGGTACTTCTCGTGGACGAGGGAGGTCAGGTCACCACCGTCGTCGAGGATGAGGTTGAGCTTCTTGCCATCCTTGAAGGCGGAGAGCTGCTGGTCCAAGCACCAGTTGTACTCCTCCTCGGTCTCACCCTTCCAGGCGAAGCTATCAATTATTAGATCGAGCCGATAAATTGGTATACAATTTTAACTTACACAGGGACACCGGCAGCGGCAATGGCGGCAGCGGCGTGGTCCTGGGTGGAGAAGATGTTGCAGCTGGTCCAGGTGACCTCGGCACCGAGGGCAACGAGGGTCTCGATGAGGACGGCAGTCTGGATGGCTGCAAGGGATTAGAAAGGTTTCAAAGTAAAAAAAATGTCAGGCCGACATACTCATGTGCAGGCAACCGGCGATACGGGCACCCTTGAGGGGCTGGTCGGGACCATATCTGCGGCGGATGGACATGAGACCGGGCATCTCAATCTCGGCGAGCTCAATCTCGCGGCGGCCAAAGGCAGCCAGGGACTAGAGGCATAAATGAGAATTGCGATCATGGTAGAATGGTATAACGGGGAACGTACGATGTCGGCGACCTTGAACTTCTGGGCGGGGGCAGCCATGGTTGTGTGTGGTGAAGATACTAGAGAGGCAATGGTTAGAATCAGTCAGATTGACAGTGAGAAAAATGAAGAAAATGGAGAGATATGGCTTACAGAAAAAAGGGGGGGAGGATAAGTGAGGAAAGATGGAGAGTAAAAGGGAGTAAGAGTAGAGGGGGAAGAAGAGAAATAAAAGGGCGGAGAGAGAGAGAGCGAGAGAGGGGAAGAATAGCGTGAAGGATTCAAACGGAGCAAAGCTCGGCCGGCGGGGCTGATGCGGTCGGACTTTCTATGCTTCCGGACTGCGTGCTGACGGTGCCTCTCCTGATTGCTGCCGTTGGTCCATCCCCTCGGTCTCGGAACTTAACCTGAAGACTAACCATCTGCCTCATAGTTAACTAACTAACTAGTTACCTATTTACTGACTAACTACAGCTGGAGGATGACTATTGTTCTCCGGTATCCATCGCGACCGGCGGATCCCACTGGCCCCAAATCTTGGGTGTGCCGACAATCGGATTTTGGACATTCCTCTCAGTGCATCTGGCCCCTCTTACCTAAGGCCGTCAGCAAGGGATGCCACGTCGGAACAGCCATAACTAGTGAATGCGATCAAAGAAACAAAAACAAACTCTTTGGGCATGAAGATAATGCATGAGCAATTAAGGCATCAAAAGATTGAAAGATCAACGAGTCAAATCCCGAGTATCTATTCCCCATATCGATAGCAGATCGTGCTGTGTAGCACCGGACCATCCGCAGCCATGCACGAGCTTCAATCCAAGTAATCCCCTCTGCAGATCCTTCACAGAATGCAGCTACCCTGCTAGCCAGTCAACCAAGGTCCCTCCCCAATCTTACCTAGGCCTATCGTAGCAAGGGGTAATCTCTCTGGTTGACATCCACCACCGCCAACATCCACTAGCTCTTAGCCACCAACTAGAAACTAGCTACACCACGATGAAAACCGCCCTAGTCACCCTCTACTCCTGCCTCGGGTTGGGTGTGCCCGCCCTGGCTGCCCTCATGGAAATCATGCTGAGCAATTCCACCTCGTGCCAGATCCGTGGTGGGGATGACATTGCGAATCTTGCCTGTCGGAATACGGTAGGCTGGTTTTCATCGTAATTCAAGGAGGATAGGCTAACTCAAGGGTGCAGTGTATTGAACAGGGTGGTGGGTGGACTGGAGGGTTCTGTGATGATCAGCAGTAGGTATCATTCAATCTTGGTAGTATGGAAGCTAACGAAGGACCCAGGATCTGTCATTGTACGTTTGATATATCTACTACGAAGTAGATGAATGCAGAAGGCAAAGTTATGGATGCGAGTAAGCAGGTGGAAGGATCATGTCATGTCTGTCATAAGTTTATGTTCAATTATCCAATACTGTCATTGTCCCAATGTGACCAATTAAACACCGTCATTGAATCGGTAAAAGTTCATCCATCTCTGCAACATTATCAGCCTTCATCCCATACATCACAGAATCCAGGTATAAACCCACCTTATCATAAGGCCGGGACGAGTCTGCAAACCGCAAATCCGTCGCCAAACGGATCACTCTATCCGGGTCATTGTTCACCGTCGATGCGTGGATCTAATCCCATCAGCACTATCCACAGGCTTCTACTATTAGATGCTGCTTACCATGTGAGGCTTATGCAGCACCACATCCCCCGCCTCGTATTCCGCAACCAACCAACGCCGGCCATTCTCCTTGGCAAATTCGGCGGGATTCTCCGACAGCATGCCCGTGGACATCATATTCGAGTTGAAGGCATATTTAGCCTCTTCCTCCGTCATGCCCGCTGCCAGAGCCTTGGCCGTGAATTCATTCTCAATCTTCTGGCCCACGACATCACCTGTCCTCGTCAGCATCCCCACATCATACAATTAAGATGAAAGACATACTATCCTCCAAATAGATCAAACCCCCACCACTCAGCTTAATATCCCCAATAGGCACCCAAGCCGTCACAGCCGTGGGCTCCCCATGTCTAATAAAGATCTGATCATAATGGACACCAATAGGCTTCGTCTGGGGGATATTATTCCGCAATAGCGTCCGCTTGAACGTCAACGTATTGTCCCCCCACCCCGTGAACTTGGCAATAAAGGCATACAGCGCCGGATGCTGGACCAGCTTCTCGGCATACCAGTCCTTGTAGTGAGCTTCGATGGCGCGATCGACGAATTGTGCGGCGCTCTCCCCACCCGGCCGGCCATTACCACCAGCCGCACCGGCTCCGATGCCGGGGAAGTCGTCGGGGGTCTTGTCGGGGTTGAAGATGCCGTGGACGGGGTCGCTGTCTGTCTTAAGGACGCCGGTGGGGGCAAGGTAGGAGAAGTATTGGCGACGGGCTTCGAGAACGTCCTCGCGGGGGAGGACTCCTTTGAGGAAGAGGTAGCCATCGGCGTTGAAGCGAGCGCGGAGCTCGTCGAGGGGGAGGTTGGGGTCAGAGGGGCGAAGGAGTGCAGCGTTTTCGGAGGTGAGGGGACCGTCGCTGACGGCGAGGGTTTGGGTGAGAACGCCGGGCATTTTGTGTGTAAGTAGTGCTGATACTACTAGCAGTACTAGATAGTATCGATTGAACTACTATTTTGAAGATAGAAGGGAAGAGGGTCGGGGGTATAGGGCTATATATATTAATCTATCCGGGGCAAGTGTCGTGACGTATCCTAATCCTAAATCTGGAGAATAGGGTCTGCCCCGCGTTGAGGAACGTTCCATACAGCAAAGCCATGACAGTTGACAAGTTTGATCGGCTGCAATATGAATGGGGATGTTACAATCAGCAGATTGGAGATTGGCGAACAAAATCCCAGTGGAACTTCCCCCCTCCCCACCTCCGCGTGGAATGATACTCTTCTGGAAACGCCACAATGCGCGGGTGGGGAATCCACTATGCGGGCAATGCTGCCCTTTTGGCTGTCCACTCTGGATTCAGTAGTGTTTTCCGGTCAGCAAAGCTGCAAGCGAGATTTTCATTGCTGATCTTTCTTTGAATCAAGGGTATAACTGTTCACAAGAAACATGCAGTATTAATAATTAGGAATTGAACACCCATTCAATGATATGATAAGATCAAGCTATTCATCCACCCACTCCCCAAACTCCCATCCCCAATTCCCTTCTTCATCCTCCCCCACCACCAACTTCAACGTCATGAACTCAATTCGTTCATACATTTCCCTCGCCGCCCCACGTGCTCGTCGATGCCATGGTCCTGACCCTCCTTTTCTTGCATCTTCCCGACTGCGCCATACACCTATCAGTCACTCGTTATTAGCACAACATATTCTAAGTAAACTCTAAAAAAATCAGAGGGTAGAGAACTCACAAGTAGCTAACCCCCTCCTCTCCCCATCCACATTCCCAAACCAATACTTCAACAACCCACCCCCCGCCACCGCCTCCCGTAACGACATCTCATCCAACACATGCAACTTCTCCCCATCTGCATCGGCCGTCAACGTCGACCGGAACACCACCACGTAGAATAGATTCTCGTGTCTCTTGCCCCAAGTATACCCCTCGCTTTTCGCTTGTTTCCTTAGAAACTCAAAGACACTGTCCCAGTTGAAGGACTCGGTGTAGGGCGCTGTGGCGTAGTCGGGGCGAATGGGGTGGAATAGGGTCAGGGCTTTGGCGAGGAGTTGGGAGGCCGGGTTGAGGGTCTGAAGGTCGAGGAGATGGTGTGGGGTGTTGTAGGGGGAGATGATGAGGTTGGTGTCTGAAGGTGGTGGTATTAGGGATGAATCATTGGGGATTGTTGGGTTGAGAAGAAGTTGGAGGGAGGCAGCGGCTTGGAATTTGAAGGCTTCGGGGTTGGTGGTTAGGAGGGTGTGGTGGTTGAGGAGGATGTTGGTGGGTGGTGGTGATGAATTAAGCCGTTGATGTTGGGTTTCGGGGGTGGAGGGACGTGGTGAGGTTATGCTGGGGGGCATTGTTCTAGTAGTATTGTCTAGGGCTGGTGGTCTATGATGGTAGTAGTGTAAAATAGTAGTATGGAGTGGTGTATAGGGGTGTATGTATGTAGGAACAAAAAAGGTGGAAGGTGATGCTAAAGAGTGACAGCAAGAGAAGGAAAAGGACAAGAAAGAAGTATGATGGGATAAACGTCGCCATTTAAAGAAGACAGGAAGAAATGAAACCCGATAATAGAGCAACTGCTCATACAGATCCACCCGATCCGACCTCTACTCGATGAAATCCAAGATCGATCAGATCACCCTCAAAGCACGCAATATGCCGACACTTGAGTCGGTCAGCCGGAATGTTGCACTGCTCGTTGGATGATCAAATTTTGAGAGCCCGGGTGCCTGGATGATCATCGGCTACTAATTTTATGCTTATCATCGGATCCCCGGGTGCGCGACATGCAACTGGTCTGCACTACAACATCTCCGGTGGCTGGTTAGGGCTCTATGATATGTTGCCCAGGGACAATAACTACAAGTGCTAGGGGACGGTGGTCAGCCGGTGTGCCAAATGGAGAATAAAGAAAAGTGCTATGAAACACTGCTCGGCGCAACCCCCAGCAGAATTGAGTTCTTGCCCGTTATTGTCACATTCAAGACAATAGCACGACATATTTTCCGGGCTTGCGCCATCAGGCTGTGTGGGCTGGGCTTTGCCTATCCCCAGCCCGCGAAATTTCACCATCCCGTCTGGAACCATGGCTAGCTGTCCACTGGTTCGCATGGAATTCGGCAACCTTGCACAGTACCGTCCACTGATGACCAAAGAAGCTAAACCATAATTAAGCACTGGTATTTTTGTTTAATCCTATCATACAGTTCCTGATGGTATCATGCAAATCCCACGTTATAACGCCTTGTGAATGCTCGTAATCCTGAAAACACAATAAACCCCCTTTACTGCTTCACCGGCGGCGGTGGCGGTGCCATCTTACCATCGCCTGTATCGACCTTCTTCTTCGGAGGCAATGCCGGAACCTTGAAACCTCCATTCCCCCCTTGAGGCGCTGTGCTGCTCTGGCCACCAACTTGCGTGAATGTGCCAGATTTGAACCACCGATCCTCCTCGGCCTTGCGTTTCCGACTCAACTCAGCTTGTACCTTAGGATCCACCAACTCCAACCCTTGCACGGGCGTGAAGGCAATAGTACTGGCAGTACCGGCTGATCCTCCCAGCGAGGTGCCAACTCCAGAGGTCCGCAACCCTTTCGCCTGAAGCACACTGGCCGTCCCACTAGCATTGGAGCCGAATGCACGGAGAGATGTAGATGTGCCACTGACGGGGGTTGCGGTACCCCATCCCTTGTTGTTCTTGCTAAGCTTCGCTCGGGTTCTTTGGTCGATCTGAGTCGCGCGGATCCGCCCATCATTCTGTTGGCCAAGCATGCCCAGTCCGACTGTTCCCTCTCCGGTACCATATCCGACTTCTGCCTCCTCCCTACCAAAGGCAACCCGATTCTGGGCTTTGCGGAGTTCCGTCATGGCAACAGCTTCCTTTGCCTTTCTCGCTCGTCGTCCACCTCGCTTACGGGACGGCTTGTCGTCCGGAGCGGGGAGCGCCTTCACGCCCGAGTTCGGCGCGGGTTCCGTAAGTTTTTCCAAACGCTGGAAACACTGCTGCTTCAGCTCTTCGCCGAGTGATCCGTCAGGGCTGTACTTGGAGACGTCCGCTCGCGTAGCAAGGACCATCTTGGCAGAGACGATGCGAATGGCCTGCCGCTTAAGGTCGTTCGGGACACCTTGTATAATCGGCGAGTTGTACAGAAATCCCTGAGAGCGAATACCAATATTTGTAGCAAAGCCCAGTCCCTCCGACCGCTTCGAGCCCTGTGCAGCTAGGTTGCACGCGGGGATCTTCGCTAGCTCAAGCAGACCTCCGGTCTGATTCAAAAACTGAGCCGCTGTCTCCGGTCCGATCAAGGCCGCCAAGTTGGGAGCGATCTGGCTCATTCGCGACTGGATGCTCTCTGTAAGTGCCGTACGTTCGCGATCGAGCTTCAGGATCCGTTCGCATGTATCCATCACGGTCTTGAGTTCGGACTCGGTCATCTCCCGGCCTCGGGTGGTGGTACCCTCCACGGCCACAACCATCAAGGATGGCCCATCCAAGATCGACCTCAGTGGCACGCCAACCATGTTATCTGGCGAGGTCGACAGAGCCTTGATATCGTTGAGCGGGCCATTTTTCAGAATAGCGACAGTTTTCGCGTAGTCGATCGGGGTAGTCACGAGCGTCTCGAGCTCAGGAAATCGGATAGAGTAGTGATCGCGCAGCACTTTGTGTAGACGAGTCAGTTCGTCGGCGGTCGACAAGGCAACGTCAAACTCGTTGGTGAGCTCAGGCGCTTGTGCCAGCTGCTCCTCATCGACAGCTTCCTCTTCGAGGCCATCGCCAGCCTGAAGATCCTCGTCGTCCTCTTCGAAATCTCTCAAAAGATCCTCCGCGTTTGACATGATGGGTAATCGGCAGCGTGACCAGCAGACAAGCTGTGTAGGTCCGCAAAGTAGAAGCAAGGCCGCGTAGATGAGATGCAGGTGAAGTTCGAGGTTTGGTTTCGCCGCCACACGGACTGGGCTTAGCAGGCCTGAGCTGAGTCAGCAACGCGGTGGCTGGGGGTGGCGCCAGAGACCAACACCGCAGCTTGTCCGACTTTGGATCGCAGCATTCATTCGGAATCTGGAATCAGCATCAACCTCGACTACCGCCCGGTCGCCAGCACAACGCCTTTGATTTGGGATTTCTGGACGTGTTATCAGTTCAGCCGGCTTTATTCTAGCCCTACGCGCACACCAGAACTCTCGGTGGCCTTGTCCGGCTCGATCTATACCTCATTTACCGATCGATTATCGTCGCATAAACTATACCACGATGGAGTCGTCACGCGGCCCTCCCAGGGTCAAGAACAAGGCCGCGGCGCCCGTCCAGATCTCAGCGGAGCAGCTGCTTCGCGAGGCCGTGGACCGGCAGGAGCCCGCATTGCAGGCGCCGACGCAGCGCTTTGCCGACCTGGAAGAACTGCACGAATATCAGGGCCGCAAGCGAAAAGAATTCGAAGACTATGTGCGTCGGAACCGAATTAACATGAACAATTGGATGCGCTATGCGGCATGGGAGCTAGAGCAAAAGGAGTTCCGCCGGGCGCGCTCAATCTTTGAACGGGCGCTGGACGTCAGCCCGACCTCGGTGGTTCTGTGGATTCGGTACATTGAGTCGGAGATGCGGAATCGCAACATCAACCATGCCAGGAACTTACTCGACCGTGCGGTGACGATCTTGCCTCGGGTGGATAAGCTGTGGTACAAGTATGTCTACATGGAGGAGACGCTGGGCAACATTGCGGGCACACGGCAGGTCTTTGAGCGGTGGATGTCTTGGGAGCCGGAAGAGGGAGCTTGGAGCGCCTATATCAAGCTGGAAAAGCGGTACAATGAGTTCGAGAGGGCGCGCGCGATCTTCCAGCGGTTCACGATTGTTCACCCCGAACCACGCAATTGGATCAAGTGGGCTCGGTTTGAAGAGGAGTATGGAACGAGCGATCTCGTGCGGGAGGTGTATGGAATGGCGATCGAGACGTTGGGAGAGGACTTTATGGACGAGAAGCTGTTCATCGGCTATGCCAAGTTCGAGGCGAAGTTGAAGGAGTATGAGCGTGCTAGGGCGATTTACAAGTATGCTTTAGATCGACTTCCTCGCTCAAAGTCCATGGCGCTTCACAAGTCCTATACGACGTTTGAGAAACAGTATGGTGACCGGGAAGGCGTTGAGGACGTGATTCTTTCGAAACGCAGAGTCCAATACGAGGAGCAACTGAAAGAAAACTCGCGGAACTATGACATATGGTTTGACTTTGCCCGGCTTGAGGAGACCTCGGGCGACCCCGACCGAGTACGCGACATCTACGAACGCGCGATCGCTCAAATACCACCATCGCAGGAGAAGCGGCACTGGAGACGGTATATCTACCTCTGGATATTCTACGCCATTTGGGAGGAACTGGAAGCTAAGGACGCCGAGCGTGCGCGCCAAATCTACAACGAGTGTCTCAAGTTGATTCCCCACAAAAAGTTTACCTTTGCCAAGATCTGGCTCATGAAGGCGCAGTTTGAGATCCGTCAGATGAATCTCCAAGCCGCTCGCAAGACGCTCGGCCAGGCCATCGGCATGTGCCCGAAGGATAAACTCTTCCGGGGATACATTGATCTAGAGCGCCAGCTGTTCGAGTTCGTGCGGTGCCGGACGCTGTTCGAAAAGCAGATTGAGTGGAATCCTTCCAACAGCCAGTCGTGGATCAAATATGCCGAGTTGGAGCGCGGGCTGGACGACACCGACCGTGCACGAGCCATTTACGAGCTTGGGATTGACCAACCAACTCTCGATATGCCCGAGTTGGTGTGGAAGTCGTACATCGACTTTGAGGAGTACGAGGGCGAATACGACCGGGTCCGCCAGCTGTACGAGCGTCTGCTGGAGAAGACAGACCACGTCAAGGTGTGGATCAACTACGCCCGCTTCGAGATCAATGTTCCCGACGAGGAGGAAGAGGAAGAGGAAGAGGAGCGGCCGATCAGCGAGGATGCCAAGCGTCGTGCTCGGGCCGTTTTCGAACGAGCCCACAAAGTGTTCAAGGAGAAGGAGCTCAAGGAAGAGGTAAGCTGTCGTCAACGTTCCTTTTCTGACATATCCCTGACTAACCATGACACAGCGCGTGGAACTGCTCAATGCTTGGCGGTCGTTCGAGCACACGCACGGTTCACCAGAAGACATCGACAAGATCGAGAAGCAGATGCCCCGGCGAGTCAAGAAGCGGCGCAAGTTGGACGACGACCGGTACGAGGAGTACATGGACTATGTATTCCCGGCGGACGACCAGTCAGCGGCAAATCTGTCGAAGCTGCTGCAAAGAGCTCACCAATGGAAGCAGCAACAGCAACAACAAGGGGATGGAGCTTAGATCGATGTACCAGGGTAGTTCTATACATAGCTGGGGAGTTAATGGCATCACGAGGTGTATCATGTCAGTAGTGATAGCTTTTGCATCGGTTCAGACGTGCGGTTACCAATTTTTTGTAGCACAAATCCATCCTCTGGCACTCTGTGGACTCCGTCTGTCTAGTGCAGTACTCGATAGTCACATAATTGCCCGTGATCTAAATGCTCAGATAATGAACATATCAACCAACTTCCTCTTACAGAGCCTTAAACGTTATGCCTCAGCCAGAACAGGGGACGATGGCGCATCTGGGAGCGCGTCAGACTGAAGATCTGGAGGTGGCCGGTTCAAGCCCGGCTCGTCCCATTCTTTTTTTCCCCATTTTTGACTTCGGAAGTCAAGGAAATTACAGTTATAATGAAGGCAACAGTGAATGCACTGGATAAAGAACAGACTACATACTGTAGGATAATATACAACCACAATTACTATCGTGAAGAAGTATCAGGACTAGGATCAGAATGCGCAATACTCATCTTACCATCTTTAAACTACTAGCAGCAACCCTCATTTGGTAGTCTTTCCTCTGGTTGCCCGGCGTCCTCTTATTTTCTTCGTCTCTTCTTCCCCTTTCTCCTCTTCTACCTGCTGGCCTGACTTTTTCCCTGCTGCTCCTCTTGTTCTTCGTGCTCGCTTGGGTGCTGGTCTTTCCGTATCTTCATCTGCTCCTTCATCATCCTCCTGCTTCCCTGGGCTTCCTTCTATAATCTTTCCCACCTCTTCTCCCTGTGTCTCTTCCTCCACTCTTTTGCCCTCTTTTTGCTTCTCTCGTCGTTCTCGTTCCCATTCAGCCTGGTGCTTCGCCATTACCTCCTGTTTCTCTCTGTAGACCTCACGCGCCTCAGCTTCCCGTTCTTGTTGCAACTCGTGGTACACTTCTTCTGTACAGTCGCCATCCTCAATCACTGCGACAGCCTGAGCCCATGATTCTAATCCCCCGTCGAGGATTGCCGCTCCCGTGCGTGACACTGCAGGTTGCAAGATGAACAGAATACGATGTCCGTCCAGTCTAGGCTGGTGCGGCAGGAGAATATGACGGTCCTCTGCAGTCACGACTTGATCCCCTCCCGAGAACAAGGGCGAGGCCAACTTCGTGAGATTTCGATACGTACAGATACCATGGGAAGAGCCGAGACTGATAGCCAACTTTTCGGCTTTCTCGTAGAACTGGACAAGCTTTTCCTCCCGCACAGCGGTGTCTTCACAGTTTTCAAGTAGCATTTGAAATGGTGGATGTTTCAGCATGGCGGAAGCGAATGATCGAGTCAATCCCTCACGTCGACTCTTTGTATGCCGGCCCATCTCAGTGTTGTTGGCCTGTTTATCATTGACGGAGTTCGCAAGACGAACGGTCTCGGTCTTCCACAGGCTGGCAGACTTGGGATTCACTATTCAATAACAAGTCAACAGTGAGACTAGGCGGTTAGGGAACCTAGGTACGTGAAGATATTGGTGGCCTCACCGATCAGAAACTGCTCATACAGATGCTGCAGATGTTGTGCAAATGACAGCGAACTCTGTGCTTGAGGCTCAACGTCTATCGCCTCTGTCTTGCCCTCAAAGTACCAAAAAAGGATTCTCGAAGACTTTATCGAATATGTCCTTTACGAGCATCGTTCGGGCGAGCACAAGGGGTATGAAAGTACGGATCGGATACGGCAGAGACTTTAGAAAAGTATCCCAGTCCAAATCCTGTACACAGTAGCCAACCAGGCTCTGGAGAATACTTCGTTTCTCACCGGGAGCGAATTCGGCCAGCGCAGCCGTATCTCTTTTCACATAATCATCCGCCCACCAGTTCGCCGTGATGAAGAGAGAGTTAAACGCATTCTTGTAATCGATGATAGGCTTTGGCCAGCCGCGCCCCCCAAAGACTGCCAGCCGCATTTTTTCTTGACGGTCTCTCTCTAACTCATCTATTTCAGCCTGCAGATGATCGATCTTGACCTGGAGTGCATCGATATCTTTATATCTCTCTGACTGGTTCAGGGTTGGAGCCGGGTTCGTGTCGTCGGGAACATGGGGCGGCGAAGATGCTTTGGAGGATGGTGCCTTAATGATGAAGGGGATAAGTCAGAGACCAGCTGACGAATGCAAAACTTCCGAGATCAATATGCTCACCTTGACTTCCTTTCTTTTTCCCATGACGCCGAGACGATGATGAATTTCGAGCTTGAAGGGTTCCTTTCCTGATAGCTGAGTGATGAGAGAAGTAGAATCGAACCCTGGGCAGGAAGTAGGGTGATACTTAAGAGATTTTGGAACAAACAACCGCGATGAAAGAGCCGGACTTGATGAGCAAATATGTTGTCCATAACGGGGCAAAGGGGGCTTCTTTGTCCTGTTTTCTTCCTTTCTTCTGGCTCTCTTCTTCTGGCTCTCTTCTTCTGGCTCTCTTCTTCTGGCTCGCCTTACCTACTAACCTGTTCTCAAACGGACTGTACGAGCATACCGGCCTATGATATCTCGTTGGGTCTCAAGCGATGAAAAACCTTCCGAGACATTGCAACCTTCTTAGGCCTATCAGCTCCCTGGCCGCCAGGCCGGAGGTGGCGGGTTTCTGAGACGCTTTGGCCTGGGAACCCGACCCATCGAGCATGACGAGCTGCAAGAGAGCCACTATTGAGGGCTTGGGGAGGGACCAACAGACGGTGATAAATACCCCATCCCCATTCCCATTCCCAGGTTCCTCATCTTGCTTTCTCGTTAACTTTCCTGTCTTCATTTCTTAACATCTGACTCTAATCATCGTTCATCCAAACTGCTTGTCATCGATCCATTTACCTCATCTTCTGTACCCACTTCTGTGCACCTTTGCCCGTCAACTCTCATTATGGCCCACTTCACAAATAAGATCGTCGTAGGTGTGGATGTTGGTATAACGTTCACTGGTGAGTGTCGGCATTTGAACCAGGAGCTTCGTGCAGGAACTAAGTGATTCCAGGCGTCGTTGTAGCCCATATGATACCGAACGAAGAGCCCGAATTTCAGGTCATCGAGGATTGGCCTGGAAGAAAAGCCTTAAAAGTGCCGACAAACATAAGCTACCCGGGAAGGGAGCCTCGGTGGGGCTGGTGTGCCTACACCTATCCCCCAACTTACGCATGGTTTAAGCTTTTATTAGACCCTAGAGGCCGCCCTACTGGGCCCCTGCCCGAGTCGTTTGCAAGCTTGACATATCAACATCTGCTACAGGAAGCGCCGGGCAAGACCGCCGTGGACATGGTCGGAGATTTTCTCGGACGGATACGTCAGTTCATCCAAGACTATTTGACATCTCTTTGTCTTCTTACCGACAAGACGCTTGTACAATTCCGTTTCTCTACGCCCGTAGCCTGGGAAGAGGAAGCTCAAATGGCCATGCGGACGGCCATTTCACAAGCCGGATTCCACACTATAGGTCTGGAGAACGTTTTTCTCAGTTCTGAATCGGATGCGTCGGCCCGCTATGTGTTAGAGCAGAAAAGCGATATGATCCAGGTTAGTGAAGGGCTGCGAGGGATCCAGGGAGACCGAACTCGCTGACGTGGGCATTCTGTACAACAGGTCGGCGAAATATTTTGCATCTGCGACATAGGCGGATGCACCATTGTGAGTATCTCCCCAGCAGAGACTTCCAAAATGGTTCCCTGACCATTGCCTAGGATTCAGCCTGTTACCGGGTGGTGTCAAAAACTCCAGCTTGGGTGCTGGAACCCTTGAGTAAATCCTCTGGTATGTCTAGCTTCGACTTGTGTCAGTTAAGTTCTCTTCTCACATTCATAGGTCACATCGGTGGTGCAATTCAGGTCGATGTGCTCTTTCTTGCGAAGATGTGTGTAAGATTTCCGGAGGTGTTCGCCGAAGAATTCGATAGTAATGGTGGTATGGTAGGCTAATTTATGGCTAAATTTACGGAACTGAAAGAAAATTTTGATGGCACTGGGGGAATCCGTAGGCTGGTTTTTACCATGAATGTGGCTTCACTCCCTGATGACGCTCACTGCCATTATGACGCTCAGACTGGAGAGGTCCTACTTTCTGTCGGCGATATGGAGGGTTTCTTTGAGCCGACCATTAAGAGTTCTATCCAGATGATGGGCGATCAACTCAACGAGGTTGATATGATGTGTCGATAAATATGGAGGCCATCAGGTCTCCCACTTGTTTATCACTGGAGGGTTCGCTGCCTCTCCTTATGCTCAGAGCGTGTTCAAGGTCTTCTTTGAGCAGCGAAAGGTGCAGCTAACCGTCCCGGACAACCCTGCCATTGCGACGGCCTACGGGTCGGCCCTTCTAGGTGTTTTCGATGTGTCATATACCATGGTGAATTGCGCCCGCACTTACGGAATTCACCATGACGACTTCATGCCATTCCTCAAAAAGGCAGGCCGGGAGCGACCCATAAAAGAGCGATTGGACCTGATGCACAGCAAAGAAAAGGCGCCGATCACCTGGATACTCAAGAAGAATAACCAGTACCAGGCGGTTGAGAAGTACACCTGGGGATTCGAGCTTCTGCATCAGCACAACATGCCGTTGATCAAACCGATTGCTATCTACTCAGTCGACGACCCCAGCCCACGCTCGAAGCCCGAATTGCTCAACCCGGTTCATTCAAGTCTACTCGACTATGTTCAACTCGATCTGTCTCAGGTTGACTTAACCCACCACCCTCACATAAATGACAATGAGGGGCACACATTCTTCCAAATCCTTATTAATGTACAGGCCACCCTCTGTCTCAAGAAAGGGGAGTTGAGCTTCCAATGTTTAGTAGGCGAAATCAATTGTGGCAGTTGCAAGGTCTATACAGTTTGGGCATAAATTGCTCAAGATGTCGCTGCGCGGCCCAGCTGGCTAGCTGGATGGTTGGGTTTTCAACAAAACATGGATGAGCAAACGCTGCACCCGGTTTGTTCAGCCTCGGTAAACCGCTTTACTGTAGCGTGTAGCGTGTCTTCAAATATTGTAATTCGTTTGTTGCCTTTTTCGCGATTTCTTTCTTCTTTCTAAGTTTTGATTTGCCATCTTCTCCGTTCATCTTCTTGTTTCACTCACACTCTTTCTCTTATCCCTGAGACTTCCTTTTTCATATTTGATTTTATTCTTTATTTAATTTTATTATTTTTTATTTTTGATATTTCCATTACTCGTTTATTTAGTTTCTAATGAAATGACCGCGAGACTGTTTTTTTGGAGGATATTTCTTTCTTTGAGTATTCATCGGATCAGTCAGGCAGGACCCAGTATGGAGTAAACCAAATTTTTATCTGAGTCCTGAAATCAACATGCTTCGCTTTAATTGCGTCCTCCTGTATCAGTAAGCTGATACGAACATTAATCTCTCCCCATGTTATCGTGGACTGTTGTCAAGGGGTGAATGAACCGACTGTAAACATCCACATCAGCATACTGGGTGGCGGAGGCAATGCTTAGAGAGAGTCCTTGGGACAAAGAATGAGAACGACAGGACCAACTCATCTCAGACAATGCCCACTAAAGCCTACCATGATGCAAATAGTTATGGCACCCTCATAAAGAAACGTCGACTCTCAGTCTCACTAATATTTCTTTTCGGTGTGCGTGCATGTTGTACCGCAGCTTGTTTAGTAAAGTTTGAATTGTTCACTTTCTTTTTCACTTTTTTTTTTCCCACCCCCAAAGGCCATCATTAATTCTGTCGAAGTTACGGCAGTGCTAATAGTTTCATTACTGTCAGCTCCCAATTCTCGAATAATTACTCTGCTAGTTTCAATGTGACGCAGTCGTTTCCCTCTCGAGTCTGCCCTAATAAGCAGGATTTTCCCCCAAAATTTCTAACAACATTTAGAAGATTCTTACTGTTCATATGTGATTATTAATCTTGCTAGCCATCGCGGAAGCTGGAAGATCTCAAGATGAAGAAACAATCTTCGATATGAGTATCATTACATTTTACCTTGTTGGCCGTACAAACACTAATTCAATTTGCCACAAGATGCACATGTTGAAAAAGCAGCAACAGGAAAGATAATAATTAATAGTAAAAATAGAAAGAATACCAATACTGAGCTTATGTAATTGCCACAAGTCCAAGTTCAGAAATCACACTTGCTGTTAATGGTAGATAACCGGACATCTTTGACAGGGTGAAGGAGGGTCGAGGGGACGCCGCAAACCCTGTCTTTGTCGGGCTTCATCCTATATTCGTCACATCGAACATTAATAGCTACCTTTGATGTAGAGTTTAATAAAGGAGAAGGTGGTGGGGGGGGAGGCGGCTGTGTAGTGTTCTAAACAAACAGCAGATCCATTTACCACCTCCCATACAACTTGTCCCCCTCAAATCACGGCGCGAGCATAAAGTACTAGTAGTACGAAAGTCCCCAAAATCTTATTTCATTGGACCTGTAAGAACGGGATATTCGGAGACTTGTCACTCCGAGCATTTGACTCCAGAATTGAAACCAATCCAATCCAAACTCTCCGGCGGCACCTCCTTGGAAACATTTTCTCGTATGGATATGTTGGATGTGGTTATTACTTCGAAGATTTTGAAGATAGAGGCCAAAAATGGAAATTCTCCTCCTGTCTGTTGTGTAAGGCTCGTTTATTACTGATTATATCATTCACTGTATAGTAATTCGTCTCCCGTGGATTTGCGGATAAAAGTGGTATTACGTAGTTGCTCTAGGGCAGGACAACGGCTCTGATTCGGGCTTCTTAGGCATTTGTGTATAGCCGAGCAGCATTGCGCTAGAGACACCGAATTTATCGATATCATTGTTAAATTTCATCCCATTTTACTACTTGCGTGAGATAGATTGATAATGAATGACTTGGTAAATTGCTTTGCCGTAGAAAGAGAAGCAAAGTTCCTAATGAGGATGGTTTGTAATGAATAGGAGTGATGAGGCGAGGAATATACAGAAATAACGAATCACTGCATTAAAACATTCGACAGTCTGGGGCAATTATAGACAAAACGATATATAACAAAAGATACTACAGACACAGTCCTGAACTTATCTCCCTTATTCTTCTTCCGTCTCAGCCTCTTCAAGGATTTTTGCAGAAGGCTTTGGTCGCTCTCGCTCATGATCTTCCTCGGTGTAGTCACCATGTTCCACCAATAGCTCGGCTTTATTCAAGACGTTTTCGTCACACCTCAGAGTCCTTAGCTTTAGTATTACAGCCGGCTGGGTTATACCTAGGATGCGACGGCCAGCCAATCTGGCATCGTCAGCAGCATTACCCCGGACATTATGGAGGTTATGGACTGTCGCTTCGTGGGATCTCGGATCAAAGGTGGTTCCCATAGTCGGCAGTGTCTTATACACACAATGTCCCTGATTGGAGCCGAGGGTGATTGCTGTCTCATCAGCAAATTTGCATAACTCCAGAAGACTGTCCTCTCGCTTCGTCGCTTCGTCGCAATCCACACTTTTTAATAGCCTCTGGAAAAAGACGTCGGAAAGTAAGGTGGAGGCGAACAAAGCGACAGCGTTTGTGCGATATTCCTTTGTCTGCCGACCGAGCTCGAGATTGGGTGCTTGGGATACCTTGACCGAATTTGACAGACGGACAGTTTCTTTATTCCAAACGGTGGCTCTGGGGCCATTTGCTGCAGTCCTGGTCAGCATCAGATGAGGATGATAGAAGGATGCGGAAGAGAAGTTCCCACTTTCTAGAAACCGTCGGTACAGATGTTGCAGATTCTGTGTACGGGAGACTGAACCCGTCGTATGATCCTGCCGATCGAGACCTTCTTCTTCAAGGTACCAAAATGGGTTGACAAAGAACTTATCCACGATGTTCTTTGTCAAGATACTCTGAGCGAGCACCTCCGACATATACAGAGAGAAAGGGTAGGGAAGAGACTTCATCAGTGTATCCCATTCCAAATCTTGGACCCAATAGCCTTCTAGGCTATGAATGATGGCTTGCTTTTCCAAGTCATGCAGTTCAACGGTATCAGGCATACCTTGCCGGGCATGTTGTTGGCACCAATATTCTATGTGATACATAACCGAGCGGATCCGGTCCCCCAAGACCTTGAAATCATAATCTGGCCAGCCCTTGGCCCCGGCAGTAAGCATCTGCGTTTGCAACTTGATGTCGAGCGAAGCTTTTCCCTGAAGAATCTCCAGTTTGTCCCGGAGGAGGGCAACTTCGGCCTTGAGGGCTTCGACGTCCTCAATCTGGGGTGAGCTTTCGTCTTCTGAAACATGACGGTCGGAATTACGGTCGGTATCGGCGGGGGAGGATGCCTCCTATAAGAAAGAAGTTTAATCAGCGTGTGCCCGATGTCTGCATTTTAGGATTTACAAGAGGGTCTTTGAGTCTGAGCCCGAGAGAATATTTACCTGAACAGAAGTCTTATCCATGTCGGCGGTACGGAGCTGTGCAGAGAAGGAAAGCTGAGGAAGACAGGTAAATGAGAAGTAGACGATGAAATTAGAGAAAGACCAAGGGGCAATGAAGAAGTAATTGTAACGTGGGGAGACGATGAGAAGGCGTTAGAGAAACCAGGAATTGAAAAGAGGTCCAGTGGCTTTGTTCCCCGTTCTTCCCATTGACAAAGCAACACGCAAGATGGAGCATCTAGACCTTCAAAGGTGTAACTCACTTCTCTCCCATTCTCTCTATTACGCCCCTCGTTCTCCTGATACCTTCTACCCTGAGACAGCTGAGTGAGAACAGGCCTATCAGGTATGCGAGGTCTCCAGACTAGTGATCAGCCAGCCTCGTATCTGCCGGGACGGCCAGTTTTCCCTCCGAGACAATTGCCTGCCCTCTTCAGAGAGCTAGCAGACGGTTTATGTGTTGGGCAGAATGGGACACATGAAAGGGCAATACAGTCTATCTCTGCTTTCTCCTCCTTTTCCCCCTCCTCTTGGATGCTTTTGAGTGTCAGCGATATCTCCCACTTCCACACCCCAACCCCAGCCCCCAGTTCAGGATTGCCATTTTCAAGTCCCCTTATCATATGAGTGTTCGTTACAGTCAATATACCAAGGTCTACAAGCGAGCCCTAAGTTGAGCCAGTAACAATATGTCACAGGCCAAGTCAAAATTAGTCTGTGGCATTGACTACGGCACGACGGGTACCGGTGAGTTGACGGTTCCCAAACTTTTATACATCATGCACGAGGCTAACTGTACCTAAGCCGCTGCTTGGGGCTATGGTACTGACGAGCAAAGCATAGATTCACCCATCTATCAAGTGGATGAATGGCCAGTTCAATCCTGGGCCAAACTGCCATCGACAATGCAGTACCCAAGTGGCATGCAACCTCGATGGGGAGTGGAGGCTACACCTGAGCTCGAAACTTTCAGGTGGACCAAACTCCTGTTAGACCCAGACTTGGAGTCAACAGATTTCCGGGACGAGGAATTGGAGAGGGTATCAAGACAACAGATCATGCGGCTGCCAGCCGGAAAGTCGGCCGTGCGTGTCGTTGCCGACTACCTCAGCGGGATCCGTAACCACCTGGAGCAGTCGTACATTTTTAGTCAACCAAACATCAAAAAGGAGTACTGGTTTTCCATTCCGGCGGGCTGGTCCAACGATGCACAAGTGCGGATGAGTGAGGCTATCCACTTGGCCGGGTTTGGTCAAAAACCGAATGAGGAAGTGTGCCTTGTTACTGAAAGCGAGGCGTCCGCGATATCCATCCTAGAGGCATCTGGGGAACGAAGAAAGGTTCGTGCGTGGGCCTACTTGACCTCAGGGAATATTTCTGGCTAATGAAAGATTGTGTCAATAGTCCGGAAGCACATTTTGCGTGTGTGATGTGGGCGGGGGCACGGTTGTGAGTAGAATATGCGCGATTGTTCAACGTTTCAAATCCTGACAAGAAGCTAGGACATCGCCTGCTATATGATCACGGATGTAACCGCAACATCGTATTCACTCACGGAACTGAGCAGTGCCATAGGTAAGGATGTTCCTTCACTGGTTGGTCTACAAACGAAGATCTAATGCATCCACCATAGGCCCCAAGTCTGGGAGTACCATCATTGACAGAGAGTTCTTGAAGCTCATGAGACATCGCTTCAACGCCTCCTTCGTAAATCCGTTAAACGACGACAAATCTGATCGCAGGGAAAGGCTCATGAACGATTTCAGAAAAAGAAAGGAAAAGTTCACTGGAGATGGAAGTAACCATCGTCTTAAATTCCGGATGGAATGCTTTACGTCGCAATGGTATGACTCAACGGCAGGTCATATAATCTTGTCCGACAGCGATATGCGGGCATTTTTTGGCACTGTTGTCGGCCAAGTCTTCCATCATGTGAACGATCAGGTGGACAAAGCCACTCGTGGCCACTTCAAGATCGACGTACGTTCAGGTTCTGAGTAGTCCCCTTGATTCTAAGCTAACTGACCTGCAGGAATTGTTGATGACTGGGGGGCTGATGCGCTCTAAATTTGCGCGGGAGGCATTTTCGGAGGGGTTAAAAGATGCAGGATTTTCCAGGATCTTGTTTTCCGAAGCACCGTGAGTTTCAGAGGTTTTGAGGCGTGTGCTACATGCTGATCCAAAGGCAGTGAACTATCCGCATCTCTCGGTGCTGCGCGAAAGGCCCTGAGCGGCATCGTCACGAAGAACCAGACATGTAACAAGAGTTACTTCATCGAATGCTCAGGATTACGGGAGGAACCCGGAATATGTCTGCAAGCTTTCATTGATGAGCCCGATGCGCCCGCTAAACCCCAACAGATTTTGGTCAAGGTAAGTTGTTGGAGAAGAGAGAGAGAGAGAGAGAACATTCTTCTCACTTGCCTTCTCGATAATGAGGTGCTCTTTGCTAACTCCTCACCAGGGCCATGTCTACGAGGAAGATAAACCATACAAGACTGTATTTCACCTATATAGTCGCCCGGGGGAGCCCCCTGTCAAAACGTTCTTTCTGAAGATGAGCGATGGCCAAAGTAAGCTGTGTCCCACCATGCTACCAATAACAGCACTGACTCTGGAGCTACGAAACTTGCAGATTCGCGCGTACTGGCCCGGTTGACCTGCAATTTGTCTGACATACCCACCGACGAACGCGCCCTCCAACCTGCTGCTGCAGGCGGTGTATACTCGCATCAATGCATCTTTGTGACTGCGACATTTCGTGTGAAGGGGTACCTGGAAATCAAAGTGCATACTAAATGTAAGGTGTTGGCCCAAAAAAGGGTTCCTAGAATATGGAGTGAGCGTGCGGGTAATTGAAAGGGTGAGTCTCTCTCGTGCGATTTGCGGACTGTTATGCGATGAGTGGTAAGTATGTGTTTCAAAACATCCCATATAAATTGGTATCTGCTGGAGTTGTCTTGGAGTTTGGCTTTATCTCTTTTCTGTCCTGTTCTTTTCTTCTCTCCCATCCGACTATCTGCTTTTCTATCTCCCTAATGTTTAATATCTTTACTATCAATGATTCCAGTTCCTTTGTTTTTTTTTTTTTTTTACTTTGATTTTCCTCCACTCTAACTTGGTCTCTTTCTCTACTTTAATATATAAATCTTTTTTCGGGCCTATTGTTTTCTATCTCCTACTACTACTGTACTTAGATTGCCAACATTGATCATTTTCGTCTGCAAAGGTACTTAGTATATATTATGCCAGTACTTTGATTGAAGTCGAAGTCGCGATGGTAGTAGCCACTACAACTGACTACTAAGTCGCGGTACTATTCCTAGTAGTACTTCTGTGCTCCTTCAATAACTGGACTAGGCAATCTTACTTGAAATTCCCATAACCAGTAGTATTATAATTATAATAATCTCAATTTGTTGTCATGGTTGTTCTCATCTCAATTGGTATAATTAGTTACTATCTAGTCCTTAATTGGTTTAGTCAAGTATTTAGTTAACTAACCAAGTTAGTTACAGTAGTTAGTTATGATGGCAGGCCGGGGATTACGTCAGTCCCGGCGTGGGTTTAAGTGCCTGAGGCTTGCAGAGCTATCCACCAATCAGCAATGTGATGCATTCCCAGTGGGGCTGATGAAACGGCCACGAGTCATGTGAGAATTTAGGATGATACAAAGTAGATACTTATCTACATAGTGGTCCGCCGCCTATAAATAGATGGGACTGATGATGTAGGAGAGTGTTCGGCAAGGTCAGATGTGGAAATTGGTATCTCTTCTCGCGACGGGAGTTTTCTCCGTCAGCAGTAAATACTCAAGTAAATTCTGTAGCAGTAAAAATAATAACTGTTGTGTACCTGCATATCCAATGCTGGCGGGTGTGCCTGACTAGTCCCGCCACAACCAATAATCGGGCAGTTGATCCCGGTCGGGCGCACGAGGGATGATAATGATAATGATAATGCATCATCATCAACAACCATTAACTATATCATAACCTCTTTGGGTTATGATACCTTCAATAGGGATGTTGCTGACTGGTTTCATCTCACCGAACCATCCGGATACTAGTAGTATCTACTATCTATCTACCCCGAGGATACTAATGACGGGGGGTCAGCACAAATTATTACTGTGGAGACTCACCGTTTAATTGCTTTTCTCCCTTTCGCACGTTCTGTCGGACATAATCTTTATTAAATATACTCCCGAGCAAGGCAGCACCATTTCTTTTGGCCCGATGCGATCGTGGGAAGGTTCGGGAACTTTTTTCTTCCTGCTTCCTTTCTTTCCTCTCCCTCTCTGATCATCATCATCATCATCATCATCATCATCATCAGTCAGCCTTGAGTACCATGGATGCAAGACCCAAGGGTCCAATTCCCACGGCAGGATGACATTGGGGGCCCAAGGAAGGGGGAGGGTTGGGTCACTTGGTGCAACCTGCATGACCTAATTTAGTAACCAGTAGAACAAGTTGACCAACTAATGGTATCTATTGTTCATGATGAGAAGGAAGATTGATGATTGTTGGCACGTTCTGAAGTGCCTGCCTGCCTGCAGTGACAAGGGTGGTTGGGGGGGAGGAAGTTTCTTGACCAGCCTTGCAGCTTCATGCAGGTACATTCCCTTTCACTTCTGTCTGTCCCTCCCCTCCTACGGTCGCGCGACTCATGTCAAACAGATGATGGTTTCGCGTAAAATTCGGGGAGTAAGTGCGCAAGAAGAGTCGTAGTCTAGCTATCACAATCGGTCACTTGTTGATTTATTGGAAGAAAATCAATGGTCGTCAGCACAGATGTTAATTAGATGGTGTAGTGTACTAACTAACTAACTAAATAACTAACGAGGTGGTGGTCGCTCCTTCCCAATTCTTCCCATCGCCGCCTCCTCCTTTTTCGCTCGCTCCTTCCATTCTCTACTCTCATCACTCTCACTCACTCACTCTCTCTCTCTCTCTCCCTTCCTTCTTCTTCCTCCCTTCCCCTCCTCCTCCTCCTCCTTCTTTCTTATCCAAAACGTGCTGTGCACTAGTGTTTCCCTCTACTTCTTCTTTTCACGTTCGCTCTCTTTTTGTTGTTGTATCCTTTACCCTCACC